TGGCACGGGTGGCGCGGGTGGTGCCGCTGGTGGTGGCACGGGTGGTGCCGCTGGTGGTGGCACGGGTGGTGCCGCTGGTGGTGGCACGGGTGGTGGCGCGGGTGGTGGCACGGGTGGCGCGGGTGGTGCCGCTGGTGGTGGCACGGGTGGTGGTGCGGGTGGTGGCGTGGGAGCGGCGCAGCAGCGGTTGACACCGCTGCTGCGCCGCGAACCCCCCCGACGTCGCGATTCCCGTTCGCGGGCCAATTTGGATGGCGGTTTATCTGAACCGGTTCTGCGCCACCCTTAGGTCGACTCGGCCTCAAATGAGAACCTGGTTTGCGGTGTGTTGTGCCAACTTTCAAAGGTGCTCGCTAAAAGCACTTGGCCCCACGGTCTGCTGAAGGCTATTCGGGGGATCTTTGTCTTTGGTGTGGGTGGGTGGTGGGCAAGAGGTGAGGCTTTCACGGCGCCGAGGCTTGTGGAGGGCGGTAGTGTCGTGGTTACGAATCCAAGTTGGTTTCCCTCTCGCGGCAAACGTCAGTGATGAATATCTGAACTGAACCATTCCTGGGCTTCTCCTGTGTCGGCGCAGCCGTAAAAGTGTGCCTGGTGCCAGTGTGTGTGTGTGTGAGCAACAGCGCTGAGGAACCATAGGCGGATAGGGCATCGTGTTGGCCCCTATCCCTTCGTGTCGTTCCAGCCTTCATAGGTGCTCGCTAACAGCGCAGCGTGTAGGACTACACGGAGGTCGAAATGTGTATGTGTGTTGAACTTCTTTCGCACCATACGTAGCCGGTCGTGCTCATAGCAGGTGCGGGGGTACGAGGTAAATCGCGTCATTTGGGTGACGAGGAGCGCGAGTGCGGCTGCTACGTCGACCCGGGCATAGCTTACAGAGCTTAACAACTGTCGTGGATGTTTGCGCACAAACCATCTATGTGCTTCGTTGCTCTAGAATGCGCATTCAGATCAATCGGTGTGTTGTTGCAACGATCCGTATGGAAAAAAAAAACGTTGCACACTTTGGCACCTCATTAAAATCCGCGCTTCTGATCAATGTCAACCAAATTGGTCGGTCTGCTTCTTTTTTTTTACTGAACGTTAAGTGAGTAGCGGTGAGAAAAAAATACGAGAGCATGTCGATATGGGCAAGAGTAATTCTCTGGTGCTGACAAGCTAGTGTATATATGTATGCTGAACTTCTTTTCCCACCCTACGTAGCCAGCCATGCTAATCAGAGGCGTGGGGGAAGGCAAAACAAATGAAACACAAAAAGCAGTTCTAAAGAATTGAGTTTTCAATCTAGATTTTAAAAGTGCATTGCCACAGCGGCTTCCTATTATCGGAAGGAAGAGCGTTCCAGACAGCCATAGAAGCGCATCTGAAAGCGCGGTGCAGTGAACGTCTTTGTTCGATGGCTAGCCAAAAGCTGCTTCGAGGATGACCGGAGTTCACCCAATGGTGTTTGTTCCTTGTTTGATGATCATGATGACATGCTTATTAGTTCACATTGAACGTATCGGAAGAGCGTTCTAGGTGGCCCGATTCCAGGTGACTCATCGCTTGATGTAAAAAAACACATCACATTTGTTATGGTGTTCTTTCCAGTTGTGTGGGTGGCTTGAAAGCTGCCTTAGTTTAGTGAGGAGCGATGGTGTAGCGGTTAGCGCTACGCTGCGCTACGAACCTGACGACTCTAGTTCGATTCCCGCTCACGGCCAAAATCAGTGACGATTATCTGAACCGGTCCTCGGCCTCCCTTAGGTCGACTGAGCCTCAAATGAGTACCTGGTGCGGTATGTAAACATCGCCACTGGGGAGACAAAGGCGGCCGGGCGTGGTGCAGGCCACCCACCCCTCGCGTGCCGTTCTGGTCTTCATAGGTGCTCGCTAACATCACTTGCCCCAACAGTCTGTTACAGGCTATACAGGGGATCTTTGTCTTTTTTGCCTCTGTGTAACTCGCCACTCGAGCGCCTGTCTCTGTGTGTGCTCGTATCGAGCATGGGGAGCGCTACTGTGGCGGTCAGAGCGCTGGACTCCATACCTGGAGGCCGGAGTTCGATTCCCATTCACGGACCAACGCCGGTGACGATTATCTGAACCCGACCTGGGCCTCCCCTACGTCGACTCAGCCTCAAATGAGTACCTGGTGCACTGTGTAAATGTGGTCACTGGAGAGACAAAGGCGGTCGGGCCTGGTGCTGGCCACCCACCACCTCGTGTGCCGTGCCGGCCTTCATAGGTGGTCGCTAATAACACTTGCCCCAACAGTCTGTTAAGGCTATGCTGGAGATCTTTGTCTTTAACTAGCATAAGGATAGCATTTGCCATTGGGGAAGAGGCCATGCTTGTAGTGAGTCATGGGTCTTTCGAGGGAAAGTGAAATCACAGTCCACAAAGTACTCCAGGTGTAATGGTGAACCACTACTTGAGGACATTCTTTTCGTAAAAAATTTAAGAAATCAGTCATCTTGTATGTATGCTCCACATAATGTTCCACATAAATGCATGAGCTATACGGTATTGTGTTTTTGCATTGAACAGGACCCCCGTCGAAACGTCGTGAGAATTTTATTGTTTTATATATATTTCATTATTTTATTGTTTCCCTTCAACGTGACTTTACCGAAAGAACCAAGAATATTAATATATAGGACCCCGTAGTTAAAGATTACTTGCCAAAAACACCTGATAACCCAGAAAATTGTTTAACAAGCCTAGCTCTGCTAATGAGACACAGAAGGTCAAAATAGGTCCATAGGTTGCTCACTTACACAAGTGATGCTGAATAATATTGGATGATATTGGTCTGCAAAGCCCATAGGTCGATGGACTAAAACGTATTTGTATGGTTGTGTGGAGATACAGAACGGAGTTCTGTTTTTATATGCGTCTATGCAAATGTTTTGTGCGGTCGTCATTATCTAGACAAAACACAATGAGGATACATATTGACTAAAGCACTATCTGCCTCGTTTGTCTCTCTATGAGAATCAATACAATACCCCAATGTTATGAATGTGAATGATGTCCTAACGTTACCGTCGGCGATTTAGACACAAGCTCAGCATTTCTGCTGCTGAGCCAAATATGGTCGAGTGGAACAAAACGACCCCAAAAGAGACATAAAACAAATCTGTTTGGTGTGCCCTCAATTTTCTTTAAGGCACACACAAGAGTTCACTCCTTCACACTGTGCGAATCGTTGTTCCACTCACACATCTGTTGATAAACGTGGCTTTAAATGCACCCGATGCTGCTTGGTCGTGGAAGCTTTGCAGGATTGAGCCTGGCTCAGTATCAGGATGGGAGAGTGCCTGGGAAGACGAGGCAGTGTATTCGCGTGCTGCAAGGTGGCCACAAAATGTCAGTACAGGACAGCGATGGTGCGGCCCTTTGAGTATTGTTTCCGTCATGTGTGTGGGGTTTCTCCAGCCCCTCTGGTTCCCGTCCAACAAACCAAATAATGCAGTGTCTAGAATTGATCAGTAATCCCGAGACAGGAGCTGACACAAAAAAGAGAGTCGTGAGACTCAGTGAGTGAGGCTTCTTTGTATAAATGAAAGTCTTATTTATGTGTGCCCCTATATATTTATTTATCTGCCTTTATTTATTTATTTCAAGCTGCTCACAGTGGGATAGGCTGGGCCAAACGGCATAAAAACCCGTATTCAAAGATGTATAATTTATTTTGTGCAGTCATCGATGACTGAGACACAAAGACTCCATTTCTCGGATGGCAGATCAGGCCTCATCCGTAGAATATCCATGCCGGTGATGGCTTGGCAATCTCACACAACCCTTTCATCCCTCTGAGATACTCGGGAAAATTTGCTGGTGCCTTCTTTTTTATTCCTCCCGACGGTGCACGTTGGGAAAGTCGCCGACCTTTGCCAGTGCCATAACACACAAAAAAAACACACACGGCAACACACGTGTAGCCGATGTACACAGGGCGGTCCAAGATGTTTTGTGAACCCCATTTTAATTCCATAAAAAAACGTAATAGTAAGGTTTATTTGATACTTAAATTAATATGCAAAGGCACAAAAATGCTAGGGGTCAACACAGAAGCCTTGAAAGCACATCGTGAGTGTGTGTTAATGCATTGAACAAAGTCCTGAGTTCATTTTCCTTGCATCCATTATTAAAGAACCACATTTTTCCCTCGGCCGGATCTGCCAGTAGGCCCAGATCCCATGGCCCCGTGCTCTATTGACACGAAGTGCCACACTATTACACGTGGATTATTAAATGCACCCGTCATGGCACAGAACGGGAGCCCGCAGGGGTTTAATAACTGTGATAGCACAGACGCTGCTGGTAAAGTGTAGCGGCTAAATCAAAATCAGTCAGGTCGGCGTTCTGTTTTCTTTCGCATTTCAAGTCCATACATGACAACTTTGAAGCGCGATCCATGCGGTTGTTTTCGTCGCCTTGTTTTGCACCGTCTCGTGTCCTATTTCTCATTGGCTCTGTCTCGTGCGTACACTTTTTAATGCGACGTGAGTCTGAAGGTAACGTTTGCGTATAACTTGCGGAAGTCCTAAGTAAATGTGACAGGCACAGGCCAAGTCAATACGTGAATTCTATGCGTAACAATCTATTTCAACAATTGAATCCATTCAGGGCGCATTAAATTATAATCTTTAAGTGCTTCGTTGTGTATAATTGTTTTTTTATCTGTTCAAGGCTATATTTTTATAAAGCACCGGATTCTCAACAAGTACAAAAAGGCCACGATTTTAATGAGCTTCCATTTGAATATCAATATAATAATGTTCGATAAGTACGAAAACAAATTGTGTTGCCATCAAAATGCTACTTGCCATGAATTAATGTACTCTACATGTATTTACGGTTTTTTTTTTAATATTTCTCTTCAGGGAGACTTCACTGCCGTATGCCCCGGGGTAGTTTGGACTCCGGCAGTGAACTTTCAAATTCTCCAGCAGTGGCTTTAACGTGACTTTTTTTTAAAAAAATCCACTTTTACATGTCCTTGCCTTTTGCAGGGCCAAGTTCTTCAAAGGCAAGAAGATACATGGAGAATACGACATCAAGGTGGAACAGGTGAGAATAAAGAGAACACACCGGGGATTTCACCGCCGTAGCGAGGAGTTCGTTCTCACGGGAATTTGCGTGGGGACAATTTTGGTCGGGTGCAAATTAGCGCGCCGCTTCGAGTCCGGATGTGGGTGGCCTCTTCCAGCTCCATGTGACTACGGGTAAAGTTACGGCGACCAATTATTTGCGGCTTCTCCCCGTGGCCCTGTTTTCGCGCGGAACTCATCCACAGGATCTGTCGTCTGCTACGCACGTCACATACATCTGCCGGCAAAGGAAACGAGGGGGGTGGGGGGGGGGGAAGTGTGGAGAAAAGCCTCGTATGTGTTAATCACCACCTCGTCCTCGTGGCGCCTTTTGGAGAGCGCCCTCAGATGTGTCCCGTTTGAGACGAGTTTTGGGAATGCGACGGTGCGCCGTGCTTTCTTCAAGGGCTTGTGCACGGAGGGTTGTGATGACAGCTGTCCCGAGAGAGAAGCGTTTTCTTTTGAAGCGCGATGGAGAGGAAGTCAAGAGCAACGTCATTTACTTTGACGTTTATTTGTCTCTTTCCCACCAACTTTATCCCGATTATGATATCGCTATGATGTCAAACCGATATATTTGCTCATTACAGTTGGAAATTCAACCAATTTGATGCAGAACCGAATTTAATATGATTGGAGTTCTTTTTTTTCTGAGACATATCAACTCACTACACTTGAGAAATCACTTTAGAAACTGGGGCAGCTGCCTGGACCTCACAAATGTTATTTTAAAACTAGTAATTATAAACGTCATGCCGTTTTGTACTTCATACGTATTGCTGGAGCAAAGGCAGAAACTCATTGTTTTCACCATAATTATTATCCATCACAATATGCGCCTCTGTGTGACAGCAAAATGATTCTCCTTTTAAAGAGTTTGTCAAAAATGTATTGTAATTGCTATTAATAAAACATTTTTTTACGAAGTTTCAACCTAATTACTAGGGGCATAACTATTCACTCCCCTTGCGATGCAATGATTTGTTGCGTATTTCAATAATCTATTCCTTAACACTGTGGGCAATGTAGCAGCTTCTAGTGGCTGAGGTGGGTCAGGTGTAACACGTACGAATTGAAAAACGTCAATTCTTAGACAACACGGTTCATGCATTTATCCGTGCGCTTAAGAGTCCATATTAATCGATTAATTATTACACCTCTGATAATTCCCTCTGTGCATTATCAGCGATGTTTATGGCTTTGGTGGTTCCCTTAGGATATTGTCGTGGCTGTTGGGAGAAGCAGTGGCGTAAACTAAACTATTTAAACGAAACTAATGTTTAATTTTACTAGGTAAGGCCCACTGAGCGACCTGGCTATCACAAATGATAAGCTGAACGAAGTGGCTTACCGTGTGGAAATGTATAGGGGCCAATTACTCTGAAGCGCGCGCCTATAAATATGGAGGCAAAAACCGGAGGACCCTTAGAAAAATCCACGCCACCACGGGAAGCGAGGGACACACAAACTCCAAATATACAGGTGTGACATCACATCGACAGCACAGTCGGGATAAATGTTTTATTTAAAACGTTTCATATATGAACACATAAAAGAAGAAACGTATAATGTGGTCCAAAAATGATTACACAACCACTGCCCTGTGAATCTGCTCACAATGCCACAGCCATGTGAACGGCCGACGTGTCACGGGCTCTGGGATTATGTGGCTTTGAGTGGCATTGTTGCCATACGCTTTGACCTTGAGCAGTACGAGCATTCGCTGGGGCAGAGGTCACAGTGCGCATTGCTTGCTTTTCAGTTGCTAACATAGTGGGCCCATGAAACATTTCATCCATCGCCATGCCAAGCCAGTGGTAGAGATTCCCTACGGCCAATTACAAAACGTGAAGTGCCTCTTGCCGTCCAGCTCTGATAATACTTACAGATACAGTACAAATACAAGGTGAGCAGTGACTTGTTTATTCCACTGCTGGCAGAAGGGCCTTCACCGGAGGGAGCTTTGTAGAGCTCCTGTCGATGGTATTTGGCCTACTCTTCCATACTGGTCAGATATCTTGTAAAAGGTGGGAGTACCAATGCACCATTTGCCACCACCGCAGGCAATTTGCCCCACCACAAGCAACGTGACGATCGACTAATAGTGGTGTACTCAAATTCTAAATGTTGTAGATTCACTCTTAAAACACACCGGTGTGCTGAAGAAGTAACTAATTGGCGTTTTGTTAACGGGACACATATATTTTACTGATTGGCCATGTCGAATGGTGGAGGGTTGCGACGCATTCATGCTTACGCGATCGAATCCGAAAGCCTTTATTATGAGTGGTGTACTCATTTATACGGTTGGCTGGACAGAGATTCGAGGAGATTTGAGAAACTTGCTCAATGTATTCAACTGCCGCACTGGGATATTGAACCGGAGATAAGCGAATTGCCGTTCCAGTCTGCGAGCTGTTACATCACAGCAGCAGCGCAGTTTAATACTAATTCGAGATTCAGTTGTGCTCGTGGTTTATTTTAAATGTTACGTAATTCGTAGTCGCTTGCCAATTATTCATAATTGATAGCCATTTGTCAATCGACCGAGGGACGAATGCTTCCAAAAACCATGTCTTTTGAGGGCAATGGTTGACCACACTTCACCACGCTGACCTGTGTGGGTTGTTGAAAAGGGCGAGCGCCCAGGATCGGTTCAGGTGTCAATCGCCACTGATGTTAGCCGTGCTCGGCAATGAAACTCATAGGTTAATCGTGCAGTGCACTAACCGCCACACCACCGCCCCACCCCACGTGATCCAATTATACAATTATAATGTACTGCACAGTGCCCTTCAGAGATAAATATGGCCGCAAAATTAAGTATACTCTTCATGCGATCAATTCTCCAAGCCTGCGTCTCCATCGATTTTATTTTAATGTTAAGCAGCATAGGCAATTACACACAATGTCACGAGTCCTGGGAGGTCTCTCGTTCAAGTAAAAAAGAATGAATGCCCTTCGACTAGCGGGGTAACTATTCACCCGCCCCAACGCGCACCCCCAGTCGGTAAATGAATGGTCACGCATCGCAGGGTCGGAATTTGATTTAAGAATGTATTCTTTCCTCTTTTCAGGGCCGCAATTTGATTTAAGAATGTATTATTCCCTTTTTTTAGCATTGAGTTGAATGTAGCGGCCTCCAGTGTCTGCAGGGATAGCGCGAACCCTTCACATACCAAATATTTCAGTTGAAAAACGTGCATTGTTACACGTGTGAGTCAATGCACGTATTGTTTAGCTTCATAATCAGTACGCAATTACACGCCTGCATTCAACCTTTCTAATTTTTCACAAGGATAATTAGATAAACTGATAAGTTCAATGTAAACGAATAAGCACAGCGTCATGATTATCAGACGTGATGTATCTACTGCTGGATGAAGGTCTTCTCAAACCACTACCATCTTCTGTGACCCCACGGTGTAACAATGCACCCAGAACCTGAACACCCAACACCTGCACACCCAACACCTGCACATCCCAACACCTGCACACCCAACACCTGAACACCAAACACCTGCACACCCAACACCTGAACACCCAATACCTGAACACCCAACACCTGAACACACAACACCTGCACACCCAACACCTGCACACACAACACGTGCACACACAACACCTGCACACCCAACACCTGAACACCCAACACCTGAACACCCAACACCTGCACACTCAACACCTGAACACCCAACACCTGCACACCCAACACCTGCACACCCAACACCTGCACACCCAACACCTGAACACCAAACACCTGCACACACAACACGTGCACACACAACACCTGCACACCCAACACCTGCACACCCAACACCTGAACACCAAACACCTGCACACCCAACACCTGAACACCCAATACCTGAACACCCAACACCTGAACACACAACACCTGCACACCCAACACCTGCACACACAACACGTGCACACACAACACCTGCACACCCAACACCTGCACACCCAACACCTGAACACCCAACACCTGCACACTCAACACCTGAACACCCAACACCTGCACACCCAACACCTGCACACCCAACACCTGCACACCCAACACCTGAACACCAAACACCTGCACACACAACACGTGCACACACAACACCTGCACACCCAACACCTGCACACCCAACACCTGAACACACAACACCTGAACACACAACACCTGCACACCCAACACCTGCACACCCAACACCTGCACACACAACACCTGAACACCCAACACCTACACACACAACACCTGCACACCCAACACCTGCACACCCAACACCTGCACACACAACACCTGAACACCCAACACCTACACACACAACACCTGTACACCCAACACCTAAACACACAACACCTAAACACACAACGCCTGCACCCCTAACACCTGCACACCCAACACCTGCACACCCCACACCTGCACATCCAACACCTGCACACCCAACACCTGCACCCCTAACACTACACGCTCAACACCTGCACACCCAACACCTGCACACACAACACGTGCACACACAACACCTGCACACCCAACACCTGCACACCCAATACCTGCACACACAACACCTACACACCCAACACCACCTGCACATCCAACACTTCAGGCACATACAGTGAGGGAACAAATTATTTGATCCCCTGCTGATTTTGTACGTTTGCCCACGGACAAAGAAATGATCAGTCTATAATTTTAATGGTAGGTTTATTTGAACAGTGAGAGACAGAATAACAACAACAAAATCCAGAAAAACACATGTCAAAAATGTTCTAAATTGATTTGTATTTTAATGAGGGAAATAAGTATTTGACCCCCTCTCAATCAGATTTCTGGCTCCCAGGTGTCTTTTATACAGGTAACGAGCTGAGATTAGGAGCACACTCTTAAAGGGAGTGCTCCTAATCTCAGCTTGTTACGTATATAAAATACACCTGTCCACAGAAGCAATCAATCAATCAGATTCCAAACTCTCCACCATGGCCAAGACCAAAGAG